TTGTTACGAGAGGGGTTTAAATCTCAAAAAAAATCTACAATGATCAGCAAATAGATTGTGTTTTAGACTGTTAATTGTTCTGTGGATGATAGTACTCCTGAAAATTATGCAGCTTTTGAAATAATAAATGAATTTAAGTTCCCAAATTCACTAGGTACTGAATAAGTTTTGAACTCCAAAGATTTGTTAAAAATATTTAATAACTGTTAAGAACTCATAAAGAAGACTATTTTAATACAAAACCTGGGGTAAAGTACAGAATTAACGCCATCTGATTCACAATCATAATTGTTATTAAAATTGTTAGAAAAACAATCTATCGAAGTTCCAGTAAGTCTTTATAGCAGTTTTGATATGATCTAAATCAAGTGATGAAATCTGAAATCTAAATGTGGAAAAGACACTAATTAATCCTCATGGGAGTAATTATGAAATGGGAAAGTTTGTTGTTTCAGATGAAAAATATATAGTAGCAGTCTAAAATCTAACAGACTCTTTTCCTACAATGAATGTAATCTTCTGGCCTAAAATAATTGGGAGTGACTCAAGCAGAAAAGATCTTATTCTTAGGATAAATTTATCTTGTATCTGTGAGATTCTCATTGAAGATTGCAGCTGATGTAAAAATCAAAACCTGTAGTACCTAAAACCTTGTGTGCCCCTGTGCCGGAGCCATTTATTAAAGCGGACCTGCAGTTTCCAATCTTGAAACAAGTTTCCAAACATTTGTTTTCATGAATCTGCTTCCGTCAATTCATAATTTTACTCTTACGTTACATGATTCCCTTAGGTGAATAAAAATTGATAAGGACATGAAGTGTGACCCAAAAATGATTTGGTAAACATGCCTTAAAAACAACTGATAAAACCTTGAGCCCAATAGCATGAGGCGTCGTAAAACGTGATTTTCTGGAGCTCAGTCACATTCCTTCTTTCATAGTAACCTCCCACCTAATGTAGTTTTCAAACAAATATGACTATGAAATATAAAACCCAAGCTTACTCCATTTAATGGACTGCAAATCAATTCAATAACTATGGTGTTTGTAGTATTAGATTAAGTGAGAACACCAGTAGTTGTTGTTAAAATACTGTGATTCCACGGCCAGTACGGACAGGAGTGGTACCCAGGTTAGGTAACACCGCGGGAGCTCATGGTAGACTGAGGAAGGACTCGCTTGGTCAGGCTGTCTTCTGATTGGTTGGTTGAGGGTTTGTATGTCACTGAAACACTAAATATTTTCAAATATTTATGTAAATTCAGAGGATTTGGTGTGATTTGTACCACATTAGCACACTAGAGTGCCATTCAAGACTGAGACAAGTGAATGAATGATGTATGATAGCTTTGTGACTATGACAGCTTTGACTAAGATAAACTTGTGCCTGAATGACCAAGGGAGAGCTAAATCTTGCAGGGCCTTCAACCTGAGAGAAATCAGCTTAGATCCAGCATCTAACATTGAAAACTACCCGCTAGCTAACAGTGAAACATTTCTAGCCTAATAAGCGCTGGGTAATGTCTTGGGATACGTTTATCAGAAGACGAAAATACTCATTCTTTAATCCAAAACAAACAGCAGTAGGTTTCACCTAGCTCTCTTTATAATAATGAGGATTTGTAAGGAGGTGGCTTTGGTTTGCATCACCCATTTGGATAGTTGTAGCTGCTGGAATTCACAATGCAACTGGTCCTAGAACAGTTATGCTGCTGAAACATTGAGAATGAGTCATTAAGAGAGTGTTTGCCTTTAAAGAGTGTTACCGCCACCGGGTACTAAAGCTCTCACCCAAAACCCACATGAAGTCTTAACTTGGGTAAGATAGCTGGATATGGCTTTGTAATGACAGGAATGATGTTCCTACAAATATGTTTTTACTTCCTCCTCCTATACATTGTATATAATATAGAAAGTATAGTTTTTGTTAAAATTTTGGAGTTTTGTGTGGATATATCTGTTTTGGGTTCCTGTGAGCCCAAAATGTGGTTTTCAAACGTTTGTGTGTGGATGTGTACAGGAGATACCGACTATACCTGCCGTCAGATTTGGACAAAATTTGGGATGATGGTATTAAATGGTATCTCCTGGCACTTTTTTCATTTTTTTTTATTGATTTTGAATAGTAATTTTTTAGAAAAAGTAATTGAATGATTTTGATTAAAATTAAGTATTTTATGGTCCTTTTAACTCTAAACAAAAGGCACAATTTTCAATGCAGTAAAAATTACTGTTCAAAATGTATTGACACTTTTAGTGATTTTACCCATGAAATATCAGCTAATTCCACCACTTACCTAATATAAGTGTTTTAACAAGCTAATTGGAGAAAGTATGTGTCAATTTGCTGATACCCTTAATTTATTTTAGTGTATTGATACAAGCTACTCATCCAAGGATATTTGATATTAAATATTATTGGTAACTGGTTTCATTGACTAGTACTCCTTGGTATGGTTTATGATAGCTTATTCATCAATACCTCCAGGATTGAATATAAAATATGATTACATACCTTAATTACATCATCAATCCTAATTTTTAGTTTGGGGTACTAGTTTCGAAACCACGGTTTCATCGTCAAGCCTATTGCTTCATAAATTCATTGGAGCACAATGTCGTCGTCAATACACAAACAGTCAACACATAGCACACACGAACATGGATATGATACATTTGTACGATATGATGATGAAACCGTGGTTTGGAAACTAGTCACCCAGACAAAAAATTAGGATTGATGACGTAATTAAGGTACATAAACCTATTTTATATTTATTACTATACTATAAAATTGGGGGAGCGAGCTGGTCTACTGGTTAGAGCACGGGACTCCGGTTCCTGGGGTCCCAGGTTCAAATCCCACCAAATCACTAATGAATTTTATCTAAGTGATAATGCCGTAACCCCTAGGTCTAGCCTGAAGTAATGTGAAAAACAATTCTGGGCTAGCGTCCTAAGACAAAAAAAAAGAAAAAAACGATACAATTAAAAAGATTAAAATAAAATACTGAAGGAAAGATAATATCAGTCAAACTCCTGATGATTTCAGCAAACAATGAATTCATTCCTCTCATCAAATTCCAGTAGAGTCATCAATTATTTTATAGGTAAACCTCTCAAAAAGCTTTGCCAATGCCAAGAAATACGTCTATGATTTTGTACATACTGTAGAACTGAAAACTAAAAATGAACTTTAAACTTTTATCTACATCACAGATTCTTGGCTAGAGATGAAAATTACCACAGAGAATAAAGGTTTGGAGGAAAAACTCAATGGTACACCTAATTGGTGTCTAGCATTAGTGCTGGTGTCTAGAGCAAATCCTAACACCGCCCCCCTCACCCTAACGTACTACAACACTCACGGTGGAGGAAGATCCTGATGTGCGGTAGGATTTCTGCACAGTGCTCGCTGCTCAGGCTCTTACCTATTTGTCTCAAGTATACTTCCAGCACAACATACTAGAGCTGAAGGCGCAAGGTTAAGCGTGTTTCCTCTTACCTTACTTCTCTGTGATATGACAGACCAGACAGTCAACATTCAGACAGAACAATGCCCATTCCAGTAATGGTCTTGAACCTATTACATCAAGTAAATAAATAATTGTCTCTATTTACCACTATTGTAAGGAGATCTACAGATATAAACACAATGCTATTGAAAGAGCAAACTATATATTATTCACAGTCTCATTTGGTCTTTTATATAGCGAGGGTTTTCCTCTCCTAGATAAGGAAACCATTACAGCATTTAGTAATTACTAGGCACAGGCAATAAAGTTCTGTGCAGTGTGCATAACTGAAACTTTATGTATTCTTTCAGCTAGGTTAACTGCTTTAGGTACTATTCTTAATCTTTTGTGAAGTACTTCTACTTTAGCTTTATACAGTTAATTTTTTGGTGAGTCGGTGGCTCAGTCGTAGCGCCAAAGAATTTTGGCCCAAAGCAGCGTTGTGTATGGGTTCAGATCATGGTACCTGCCTTTACTGATTATCAGTTCAGTTCACCCTTTTACTGTACCGGCTCATCCCTTGCTTTGCTGGATATGTTCCATGCACACGCAGGTCTGTAGCAAAGCAGTCTGTAGGATGGGCAAATTCAAGGTTAAAAGCAGCCACCTAACTTCCAAAAAATATATATAATAAACCTTTTTATACCAACATGAACTATTTTCTACAGTGACACCATTGCTGAAATAGTTAATGACTTCAGCATGACTTTCAAGTGAGAAAGTTGAGACAACAACTTGTTGACTAGTGTTTGTCAATCATGAAGTCTCAAATATATTTTAACTGCCATATCACTTATGCAATTTTGCTAGCATAATTCAAATTAGACCTTCAACAAAACTACAAGTAATTCATTATAAGTGTATAGATTCAATATCTCTTACCTTTAACAAATAACAGAAGATGAGACCCTTAAAATAACAAGATAAACCTTTACATTCATAAGGTGATCTTAAAGTACATCAGGTTATAAAATTACCGCAATCACCTATGGCTTTTTTGGTGATTGAATTTTAACTCATTCCCTCTAGGACACAAGTTCTGTTCTGTAGTCAAAATACCAGTCTTTACCTCTTTCATATGTACTATATAATAGTATCAAAGTTATCAACAATATAAACCATAACTATAGAGTTCCACCTACTGTATTAAGCAAACATAGTTTGATAAACTGTAAAAAATATATTATCATGACTGATATCTTATCATCTTTTGTATTATGAATTTATTAAGTTGTGTTACAACATAACAAAAACATAAAATAAAAATTCCTAAAGAGAGTAGCACAGATAAAGCTCTTGTATGAGTTCAAAGAATTGTGAAGAACTTCAGTTAGGTATCATAACATTTTGATAAAATCAGTGAAAATTGCTTTCCAAAATTTCCTCTATTCAAATCTGGTGGAAATTGTTAACTAACACTGAATTCCAAACTGGTTGTAGTAAATAACATAGGTAATATAAATTAGGAGGACTAAAAAACACATACTCAATCCTCAATAATTCTTATTATTTGTAGATAATCTAAAATAAATTGTAACAGGAAATCTATAAAATAAAAGGGTTTAGTTGTAATATTTACATTATGGTATATTAGCTTAATTATAGCTTTGAGCCATAAATAGCTGAGACTAGATGTACTAACGAGAAACCTGTGTAGAAAATGTTAGAAATGTCAAATACTACCTTTGGCAAACTCCTATCATACAAATTTAGTATTTACAGCACCATGAAATGTTATTTACATATTGTACAAATTTACAAGGGTTCCACAATGGTAATTGATCACTTTGATTTAGTTAGCACCAATTTACAAAGCAATGTCTCTATATTTTTGAAAATCATCTGAATCCGACGTTAGAGAGTGTTTACTCTGAGATTGTCTTTTACCTGGGTAAAAACTGTTTATGTTGGATCCATAGATCAGATCTTTGCGTGGTATAAACTCCATCGCTGGATCCATGACAAATTGATCGTTTCTGAAAGGAGAAAAATATGCGTTTTTCAGCCTGCCTGTGGTATAGAAACCATTTGTGATGTGAGGACCGTTCCATTGGACTGGGGATTTCAGAATTCTCCTGTCTAAGCTCTGAGTGTATTTAGGCCCTTTGGTGTCCACTGGGAAATCCACAACTGACATAGTCTTGCGAGGGAGCTCCAAGGTGCTGCCTGAGCTTCGAAGGTCCACAAGAGAGAGGCTTTTGTTGATCTGAGGACTCTGAAGAGGCACCTGTAGAGGAGGCTGAACGGGAGCTTGAAGGAAGAGATCGAACTGGGAGGCGTTGAACTCACTGGTCTTGAGTGACATGCTGACTGCTGGACTCATCATGAAGGGAGGAGGTCCCATCATCATAACTGGGGTATGAGATCTTGTCACTGACACCATCGATGCACTTCTGGAATTTGGAAATAGACGTGAAATTAAGTGGTGGTATAAGAAAATTTGTAATAGTTTATAGTTAGTTGAACAGAATATGAGTCAGTGGCTCAGTCGGTAGCACCGATCATTAGCCTATGTAGCTGAGGTAGATAAATTTTTGTGTTCTGGGGTCTCTCAAAATTTATCAGCACAGACACAGAGAAGTGAGGTACAGAGGGAACATTCAATGGTACACTTAAGTAAGTAAGCATTACTTATGGTGTCTAAGGCAAAGTCCAACACCGCCCCCTCGCCCTCATTTACTACAGGACTGACCTTGGAGAAAGACCCTGTGCCCTGTGCAATAGGAATTTCTGCACAGTGCTCGCCACTTGGGCTCTTCCTAGCTTTTCACAAGTATATTCCCGACACAACTAGAGATGAAAGCGCATGGTTGTCCCAAAGGCAATTTCCCTCCGTACCTTGCTTCTCTGTGGTATAGTTTATTCTTACTCAACCCTTGCTTAGCTTGATATGTTCCACACAGAGCCCTTTGAGACTCATGTAAGTTAAAATATATTTAGAGGTACCGTAAAGCTGCTAACAAGGTGTCGTATGTTATTGATCTGAGATAAAATGCAAAAAAGCATGTAAAAATCTTTATTAGGCCAGGCGCACACAGGCGTCAATGGTCTAGCAACAGTTGCCCGACCAAAATGTTCAGCATTGTTTTAAATTGGAGTGTGCACACCAAGGAAACAGTCGAGGGACAGTCGCGCAACTGTTGCAACCGTTGTTCCCGGACCCAATTTGCCAGAGACAGCTCTGCGACTCAATTGTCGCAAGACTATCGCTCCAGGTTTGGTATACATTGAAACAAATCTACACGCGCACAAATACGACTAGTGTCGCTGTGTCGTTCAATCTCAGTCGGCTACTCGTAGGAACTGACACTTGTATTATTTGACCTCTTGATTAATTTATTGTTGTGTTAAGTTCGTTTGTAAAAAGTGCATTTTTAAGTATGAGTGTGCTTGTTGAGGACGTTGAAAAATAAAATGGGGAAGTTGAGAGGAGGCCGCCTTTATATTTAAAGGCATTGAAAGACTATTCTGATATTAATTTGAAGAATAGGTTGTGGGAGGAGGCATCCTTGGCAGTTACAAATGATTGCAACAATCTAATCCTCTTCTTTTTTCACGTGCGATACTTCAATAACAGAGTACATTAGTACATACTATTGTTGTATCATTAAAATCAGTACTGTAATGTCCAATTTGCGTCTCAAACAGTTGCCTGTGTGCACACTCCTGTGCAACTGTCGCTAGACTCCAGAGACTCCGAGTGAGTTGCGCAACAGTCTCCCTATTAATTGGGCAACTGTTGCTAGACTCAAAATCGCCTGTGTGCGCCTGGCCTTATTGTTCAGTAAAATATGGGAAGAAGACATAAACAACTTTCTTGAAAAAAGACTTCCAGGGAGTTCATACCAAATACTAAAAATTCTCAGCTCAGTCAATTTGATATTTTTCTCCTCCAATTGGCAATTCTACAGAAGGAAATTGTAGAATGAAATAGAAAGAATGTGGTTCTGTTTAAGAAAAGGTCCTTTAGGCCAGGATTTTGAATTGTGGAATAGAGCCGGATAGCATTTAGCTTATCTTAGAGTACAGGAAGGTTATAGAGCACACAGAAGACTCATAAAAACACAATATTTCGTCCCCTGGGGGACTTTGTCAAGTGTAGAGCAATAGAAAGAAGTTGATGGTTTATTCTACTTCTTCCTTCTAAAATACCCTTTGATGGGTGAATTATCAAATTAACAGTGCTGTAAAAGTTTGGTGTGCTATCATCTGCATGGAGTTTCTTTGTTGGTGTATCCACCTCTTCTTCCTTGATGTATTCCTTAGCAAAGAGCAGGGGTGGCTCCAGGAATATTTTTTTGGGTAGGCCTGACAAGGACCAAGAAAGAGTTTGATCGGGGGACGAGAGGTTTGAAGGGCTTTCCCTGCAAAAAGGGGAAATTAAAATATACATGCAAAATAATTAGTTTGAATGCTTTCCCTTTATTTACATATTCTTAAATTTCTTTACTTATTTATAATTTGAAAAGTCTACCAAAATTTTGGGTCGGCCTGGGCGTACCTGGCCTGCCCTCTGGAGCCGCCCTGGCAAAGAGCTATTTTCTCAAAACTGTTATGGTAATCTTATTCAAACATATGCAAATTTAGATGATGAACATGAGAATTATTATTGAGTGTACAAAATTATTTTAAGCATACATAAAGATATATCCCTACCTGCGCAGGGTGGGAACGAACGCTCCGTTGTTGAGTATCTGAGGAGGAGAGTTGTATGTTGGTGGAGCAGCTGTAATTACTCCATTCTTGGAGTATCCATTCATTTGTGATGAGACGGAGTTTCTGCGATTGGGAATAACTCTAGTCTGTAAAACAGTAAATGTTTTAGGATCCTGTATAGTACAATTCTGAAAATTATTCTAGATGAGTTTATGATGAGTAGATGAGTTAGCTCATTGTATGTGTGGGTATATAAGGACAGTGAAGTAAGAGTGTCTTATTATGGTATATGGTATATAGGTATTTAAGTGGTGTATGGTTATGGTATGATATTGTTATTTACATCATATGTGAAGCTGGTGGTAACTGCAGGGACATGAGATTCAAACTAGCTGTATCTGGCTTATTGTGTTAAGGTAACACTGATTAACTACAAGTTCTGTAAAAACTCAAATTATATTTCTTTTTTATTTATTAAATAGCTTTTTTGCTTGTAAAATTTAAAGCAGGCATAATACCATCCAATTTAGAAAATGGGAAATTAAACTTTAATAGGTAAACATTCATTTCCTTGACTCTAAATAGTTTTGGTGAATATGAACCGTATAAATGAGGAAGGTTTAACTACAATTCATTTCACCAATGAATTTACCCCTTATCACCATTATGCACTGCTAGCTCAGTAAGTGGTATTTACTTCCATGATAAGTCTTTGAAAACCCTATTCCTATTACTAAACTTAATTGATTGAGAATAGTTAAATTATGTTCCAATTATCTTTGACTGCTATTTTTACGATAAATCATATAAGACATCTATACACATTCAGTGTTGTTGTCGGTTTCTAGTAGATTTGCATTGATGTCACCTATACAAAAATAGGTTTTGTGATTTGTTTTGTTCTCATATTTGTCGAGAGGGTTAGTAAAGTTGTCCAAGTCACTGTGGTGAGTCTTGTACACATCAATAGCAGATTACACCACTTATCTTGATAATCAAAGTAAAGTCCCAAAGTACATTCAAAGTACATTCAAAGTCAAAGTACATTCCCAATTCATAAACCTTTCATTCACTCTCTCACTCACATACATCAAAACCCCATCATTTTGATTTTCACTTTAGTTTTTCAAACAGTTTATACCCCTCTAAATGCAGCAGCTCCCCTTAGGACGTTTCCCAGACCACAATAATACAAAATCTTAAAACTACAGATTGTAATAAAATAAGAAGTAACTCTAAATTTTTAATGTGATGTCGGATGTTCATGAAAACATAAATATTTCTTTCCATATCCTGTAGTCTGAGCAAACAATAGAATGCAAATCTCAGCATGACTTAAAGCAGGATTACTTACTTGTTTAATTGAACAATCTATACTGACTTTTACACTACAGTATTTAAAGAAAGCTAAGATACATTCTTCAAAAATATCCCTTTACTTGAAGATGAAGATACTGTTTAGTGAAATGTAATGAGAGCATTTCAAGGTGCAAAGAGAATACTCAGGAACTGTTGACAATTTGGGTACTCTTCAGCCTTGGATAGAATATGAGCCATGACAGATGCTTAGTACTGATTCATCCCAGTACCTTGGAGTATGCAGTGTTTTTAATTGTATGGAGCGGGTAGGAACTGAATGTGTTCACAGGTGTTGGTAGGTTGGTGAAGCTCAGAGAATTTTGTAATGACCGAAGAATTTTCGGAGCAAAGATTTTTTTGTTTATGCACAATCAAACTATTTTAGGACGAGGTGGTTGAGAAATAACTTGAGTAGGGTTATGGAGTGGGTAGATTAGGCATATTGGTTTCAGATAGAGAATGAGGAGGACAGAGATTTTTGTGCACACCTCTGTCATTATTAGAAATATAGTTAAAAGC